GGGGACATGAAGTCCCGCAGCAGCAGCAGCGGGGGGGGGGGCTGGTGGAAGTTGGCAGAGAGTCCCGCCAGGTCAGGGCCAGGGGGCCAAGGACAGCCGGATCCCTTCGGGGCCAGGGATCACCAGCAGATTACTCTCAGCAGAGCGTATTGCTCTCCCAGGGACATACCAGAGGAGACGGTCCCGACGATACACTGGTCCCGGACCGCTCAAGGCCTTATAGGTCATAACCCCCCATTTTATCCTCACAACAACCCAATATGGTTAGTTAGATATAATGACGGTCCTGGCCTTTCTGGCAAATGTCATTATGGGACACGGATTTGAACCTGGATCTCCACGGTTTAATCCTACCCTCTGTCCACTACAATCTACATTCATATTTATAGATTTGTTCAACTGGATGCCTATTTTATGCAAGATTTTAGAAAAATGTAGTTTCTTACTGTAGTTTCCTGGGACAAGTTCTGGATTCTTCGGCACTTTGAGTTTGAATGACACATCGCCAATGGTAACTTTATCACCTGAAATGTTCAATTTTCACTTATTATTGCCTGTTTTAAAAAATTATATATTTATCAACAAAAAGGGAAATGGTTGCACAGAAAGCTCTCTGTAGAAAACATTTAAGTATAAACTTCCTTATAACCCTTCATCTGTGCTTTGGAGTGGTAACAGTACACCTTAGAACAGACTGATAAACTAGTACATTCAGGGTTCATTTGCTTTCCATAATAAACTCCAGACTTCTATAACTGCCATTATTATTTTTGAAAATTAAACACACGTAAACAAATATCTCAGTCTTGTTCTATCTACAGTCTGTCAAAATACTGCTCATTCACCGAAATCATAATTCCTCCCCACCCCCCCGTAAAACTTTCATTTCACCAGATGCCAGTAGGAGGGAAGACTTCCCTAGGAAATCAATTTTATAGCATCTTTCTCCCTCCCCACCTCCAAACGCATTTAATGAGTCAGTATAAGGGATGTGTCAATTCATATTACATGCCTTTGTGAACAAACTGAAGCAGGATCGTTTCTAGGGATTAACCGTTTTAGGAAGTGGCTTTTAGAATACCTTTAGAGTGTAATTTCCCCCTTTTATTTAGCTATTATATTTTTACCACAAAGGAAAATACCATTTCGATTTCATCATTAGCACTGTGCTTCCACCACTTTGGCTGTGATCTGTATTATCTGATACATTACAGTAATTATAGAGCTGAAGAATATACTGGCTCCAAATTTTTCTAGGGTCACAAATTTCACCTCAGCTACTGAGGTGCGTTCCGTGCGCCTTGGTGTGCATTTAGTCATGCCGGCCACATGACCACGGAAATGTCTTCGGACAGCACTGGCTCTTCGGCTTGGAAACAGAGATGAGCACCACAACCCTAGAGTCGGATTCGACTGGCTTTCGAGCAAGGGAACCTTTGCCTACCTTTTACTCAGGTGCAATCCTAAATATGTATACTCAGAAAGTAATTCTATTGAGTTCAATGGGCCTTACTTTCTAGTAAGTGTGCTTTGGGCTGAAGCCTAAACGTCTGTAAAACAACAGTCAAGTTATTAATCTCACTAAAACCAGAATGACAAAACAGAACCGGAATCACACTGGAGTGGGAAGTCTGAGGAAGGCACTGCAGACCCAGGAGGGGGTTTCTCGAGGGAGGGCCACAAAGCAATCCATTCTGTATTAATTCTATTTAGGGAAAAGGAGGAAATAAAAACTGCTTATGTGGATATGTGGCTGCAAAGAGGAGAAAAGAGAAGGGACCTTGGAGGGCAAAAGAGGCCCTTGAGTCTCATTTATTGGCTCTGAAAAGGGTTCTACAATCATTCGATACCGGAGTGGTAAACGGAATGAATATTCTCACACCACTGGCTCTGGTTAGCAGGGCGAGCCAGCCCCACACCGACAAGCCCACGATTCCATGATCACTTCTGCCACATTTCGGCCTGCTGTGGGACTACGACTGATCTTCACAGTCAATAACATGTTTATTACATTCGGTCCCACTGTCAGGAGGCTCCCTCCTGCTCACTTGGAAAATCTCTTGGAGGTCAACATGCAACTGCCCTCGTCAATCATCACTCTTCTCACTTGTGGTGAGAACAATCCGGAGATTCTGACAGACAGTTTCAGGAGGGAGAAGCAGCAGCGAGAGACGAATGCAAAAAGGACTCTGAGTCCTGTCAGGCAGCGGCATGATCGTCACAAGACTCATTCAGCACAGGGGTCTTGAAAGGCAAAAATAAAATCCCAAGAGACAAAGACCCGAGAAAACAGCAGGAAGAGAAGAGACTGGGCAAATGGCTCACAAAAGAAAGAGGAGTCACAGTCAAAGGGGTTGGGGTTTGTATGAGTCTGGGGTCAACCTCAGCAGCGGCAGACGTTGAAAAGAGAAGGGAGGGCGCTCAGGTGATACAGCAATGAGCCCACAGTTATGGAAGATAAGAATTCAGTGGGTCTTTATTTCTTAAACAGAACAGACGTCCACTGACACCTTAAAGTCTAGCAACATTTATTTCACTATAAGCTTTTGAGTCACAAAATGAATATTCAGGTGGGGCAGAGCCGTGTTGGTCTAAAGCAGCAGAACGAAGTCTGAGTCCAGTCAGGCCCCTTGGAGACCAGCCAAGTTCCAGTCAAGACGCCAGCTTCCGTGGGCACACACACACACGTCTTCAGATACAGGGAAATAAGACGCCCTCAACCATTTCATATAGGTGGGGGGGGGGTTTAGTTCCCAGAAGAACATAAGTAACTGGGTGGTTATGGCTGAGATTGGATTAAAGCAGTTGGCAAAATCTGTGAATAAACACTGTTAGTCTTTAAGGAGCCACAGGACTTCAGTTTGACTTTACCAGGACAGACTAACAGGGCTACTCCTTTACAATCATTCCCACAAAGAAAACTGAGGGAGATAATCAGATTATTTGAAATGCTACCTGATGGCATTTTTATAGAGAAGTTCCACTAAAAATTAGTACTGCTCTATCTATACGTGCTTTCTCTAAAACTAGAATGTGAAGACCAAACCTTGGACAAAGCAGTCTCTTCACCCGTTAACTGAAAAAGGCTGGGGCAGAACTAGGGACAGGATGAAAAATAGTTCTGTTCCATACTGTCCGGAGATCTTCAGCATGTTACGTAAGCAGACATTTTACTCCCAGAACTAATTCTGAAGCACTCTGTGGAGTTCTAAAACAACATAATTTGGCCTGCAAATATGAACTTTTCCAGGAATTTAATACTCTAATGCATTTTAATGGATAAAATGGAGGGAAGGATAATTATTTATGCCACTTTGGGAAGTAAGGGGGGGTATAAATGAAGAAAAGAAAACAAGCAAAACCTGCCAAGGAGCAGAGGCCCGTAGCCACTGGGGGGGTGGGGAGGGGATTTGGAGGCAATGGGGAAAACCCCCCACAGATGAGCACCGCTCCCTCAGACCAATTTTTTTTTAATTAAAAATTTGAAAAAATATTTTTTAAAATGTAAGATGCACATGGAGGTTCCAAAATGACCCCAGGCACTGTCAGGAAAGCTTAATGTTCTTTTTCCTGAGCCAAAAAATTAATAGATTAAAAAAATGCAAAATAAATAAAATTACACAATGCAAAAGAGAGAACATAAGAACATAAGAGAACATAAGAGACGCCAATGTTGGATCAGGCCAAAGGCCCATCCAGTCCAACACTCTGTGTCACACAGTGGCCAGAAATACCAGTGCCATCAGGAGGTCCAGCAGTGGGGCCAGGACATTAGAAGCCCTCCCACTGTTGACCCCCCCAAGCAACAAGAAGACAGAGCATCACTTGCCCCAGAGCCCACGTGCCCCACCCACCAAGGTTTTCTGGGATGTTGTAATGCAGAAGAGTTCAGCTAAGCAGGCAAAGCTCTCTCTGGGCTGGGGAAATCCCTGAGACCCACTAGTCAGAAAGCCCAGGCTGGGCAAAGTTCCGATTCAATATAACAAAAACCTCATACATGCAAGGCGAGGCACAGTCATACGGGCATGTAAGCCACATTAAATTCCGTGGGACATCCTTCTGAAAAAAGATGCGTACTCTCCTGGTGGTGGAAAGTGCCCGCAAGTCACAGCCAACTTATGGTGACCCCCCCCCCATGGGGCTTTTCAAGGCCAGAGACAAACAGAGGTGGTTTTGCCATGACTCGCTTCTGCGTAGCAACCCTGGACTTCCTCCTGGGTGGCCTCCCCTCCAATTACTAGCCAGAGCTGACCCTGCTTAGCTTCTGAGATCTGGTGAGCTCAGGCTACCCTGGGTCATCCAGGTCAGGGCACATAATCTATTAGAAAGGTGAAGGGTTTCCCTTGCTCGAAAGCCAGTCGAATCCGACTCTACGGTTGCGGGGCTCATCTCTGTTTCAAAGCCGAAGAGCCAGCGCTGTCCGAAGACGTTTTCGTGGTCATGTGGCCAACATGACTAAACACCGAGGCGCACGGAACGTCTTCCCACCAAAGTGGTACCTATTTCTACTTGCAATTCCTTGCTTTCGAACTGCTAGGTTGGCAGGAGCTGGAACTAGAGACGGGAGCTCACTCCGTCATGCGGCACCCGGGTCTCGAACTGCTGAACTACTGACCTTCCACAGCCTGCAGTTCAG